GTGCCTGCAGTCTCAGCTACTCGGGAGGCTGAGGCAGTAGGATCGCTTGAGCCCAGGAGTTTGAGGTTGCTGTGAGCTAGCCTGACGCCACGGCACTCTAGCCCGGGCAACACAGTGAGACTCTGTCTCAAAAAAAAAAAAACAAACAAAAACCTGTTTGTACTATCAATAATCAAAGAATACAGGCAGCACCGTTTGGCAAACAGACGACAGACACTGGGATGAATCAGACCTAAATTACAACCTTAATTTTCAAGCTTATACAAGATATGTAACTTCGAGACACACAGCTTCCAGAATCTTCAACATCACTAATGAGGGGACCCTGCAATGTCATTGTGAGGGTTGGTGACACTGTGGATAACACCTAGCATAATGGCTGGCATACTGTAGGCACTCAAGAAACGCTAATGCTTCCAGAGCACTACGTGAAATTCTAGCTCATTTAATCCTCACCACAGTTCTAAGAGGGAATTATAATGCATACATGCAAATTAACACAAACATAAGACCAAAATGGTAACAGATGAAATATTCAACAATGGCATAGTACAATACTAAAACCACTGCCGTTCACTTCTAGCAGGAACAGAAAATGGTGCAACTTTCTGCAAAGCAATCTGGCAACGTATGCTGAGGACTTTCCCAAAGACGACGTACAGTGGTCCAACTCCACTTGGGAAAAGGAAAGTGCCCGTGAGTGAAAATGGGAGTGTTCAAAGGCTTGACTAATTAGTGCCGATTCCTATTATTTGTAGGTTTTTCACGAGGAAATGCAACGCATCTCTAGGAATAGAAGTCTTTATTTTCTTTGTTATTTTTTCTCATTGTTGGTTTTTATAAATGTCTCCTAGTCAGCTCAAATCTGTTCATTCCTGAGGTCTCCTAAAACAGAAATTGTGGCCCACGTCACCATTCAGCTCCTCACATTTGAATAGAAGCACACTGCCCAAGGAGGCAGATACTGCTAATGAGTGAACTGTTTCTTAAGAATGATGAGTATAATAGAGGTATAGAAATTCCTTCATGATTGGAAATCTCAAATCCAGAGCAATGTATGATATTCAAGCAAATGCCATCACAAAGAGAAGAAAAAGAGTTGAAATGTTTCACTTCTAAGTCCGAAGTATGTTACATTTCTAAGTCCAAAGTATGTTGCCCTTTGAGTGCATTACAATTTAACATCCAAATAAAAATGTTTGCATAAAAAGTCTGATAACAACTTACCTAAAATGAGATGAAGTTTGGTTTCTGTCTGGAAAGCATAGTGCAGCGTCACCAAAAATGGCGACTGTCTAATGTGCTCCAAGACTTGTCGTTCTGTCCTTGTATGCTCTGTGGTTTTAGCCTTTTGAACTATTGTTGCCTTTTTCAAAACTTTCATGGCATACAGCTTTCCAGTATCATGACCACTTACTTTACGAACTAGAAATACTTTTCCATAAGCTGAAAATGAAAAGAAAAAAAAATAAAAATAATGAAAATGCTACATAGGCAGAATGGTAATTTATTGGAAATAAAATTTTTATGCATACAAAAAAACCACTCTTTAAAAGAAAAAGTATCCTTGGTGCTGTTTCAAATAGTTCTTTGATGGGGTTTTTCAATTTTATACCAAATATATTTCTAGGCCTAACCCTCAGTATTTACATATCTAAGCCACTGATGACAAAGTTGTGCTTTCACTCTTTTATTGTTATTCTATCCTCAATATTTTTAGCTGTAGGAAACTAACTGTTATTATGGTCAACCAACCACAATGCAATTCTGAAATAAGGACATTTTAGACATTAGATAAAACCTTTAGGTATACATATTTGCTATATTGATATAAACAAAGAAGACAGACTCTCATACACACATATAAATCAAGTCCCTCAAGTATTCCTCCATACTCATTTTTTTTTTTTTTTTT